ATAGACCAGCTTGCTTTGTCTGACCTCCTCATAGACCAGCTTGCTTTGTCTGACCTCCTCATACACACTTTGCTTAAACTCCCTTCCTTTGATCTGCCTTTTTGTAATATTCCTTGTCTTTCACTTTCTTTCAATTCCTTGTCATAAATTTGTCTTTATAGCAAGAGGAAACACCAACAGTTAAACCAGTAAAAATGTCTCCCATCATCCTCATTCTTGATAAGTGTGGAGGGATTATTTGAAGGTAGCTTCTGAATATTTGGCTCCCTAAGGTGCTTGGATCCTCACCAATGGCCTGAGATTTGGCATCACCAAGCATTTAGGACAGGCAGTGCGAGACCACTCCCTCGCCAGTACCTCCTCAAAGGTCCAGGTGGTGGCCATTGGCATCGCCCCCTGGACCATGATCCATAACAGAGATCTGTTGCTCTCCAGCAAGGTGAGATCAGCATTTGATGTGCACCCTTTTGAATCAGCCTTGGATGGACTTGTGTGAAACTGTCCTGATAGGACTAATGTGTCTGTATGAGTAGACAAATCTAGACTTATCAAATCTAGAGTTTTCATGACATAGGTTATAACTTTGAACTTATGCTGAACTATTTAACTATAGCCTGACCAACCAGCGGCATACCCAACAGAAGACCTGCCTCATGGAACAGTGTATTGCCTAGACTGTCACCATTCCCATTTTGTCCTGGTGGAGGAAGACTTGCAGACACCGGGCAGTACAAGTGAGATGATGGTCAAACTGCTGACTTACATCTCCCAACAGCGCACTGGATATGGGGGTGAGCACGTCTCAATATGAGTGTGTGTTTCAAGGATACCAGTCTTGTTATTATCAATGTGTGGCACATTTTGCATCTATATATGTCTCTGGCTAGGGACTGGAAGCTTTGAGATTCCAGTGTTGTGCTTACTGGTGCATGGAGAACCAAAGATCCTCCAGGTCAGTATTTTCATTCGCAAAAACAAAAAGTGGCTTTGGTGTAACCCGTGAGTGTTCTGAAACCATATTGTACTGTCCATCTATAGCGGATGTACAAGGGGATCCTGAACTCAACGCCCTGGCTGATCTTGGCAGGCTCGGGGGGCGTGGCAGACATCCTAGTGACACTAATAAACAAAGGATTCTGGGACACAGAGACCGTGGAGGAGTTACTGCTAGACACCTTCAACACAGGCTTGGAAACCGCAGACATGTCGGCTTGGATCAGGCTGGTAAGGGATTCAGCTCATCACTCTCCATCTCATAAACAAAATTGCTCCACAGACATTTTGTTGTTACTTTTTATTTAGATTCAGAAGATTGTAGAACATGGACACTTGTTGACAGTACATGATCCGGAACAGGAATGCTCTGATCTTGACACCGTCATCCTTAAGGCATTAGTTAAGGGTGAGTAGCATTGTTCCTAACATTGTTTTACAACAATATACATTCTATTTATATGCAAACCACACAAATATACTTGCAAATTGTATATTTATACAATATATTCTTTTTAGTACTTTAAATTAGTTTAACTTTTAGCTTTAATCTTATTTTATCTTATCTACATGGTCAAAACTGACCAACAATATTTATGAATGGTCATTTTAATTATCTACCAATCACAATTGGTCAACATTCCAACATTTCTACCCAAAACTCCCCAACCGTACGTCAGCTTGCAAAGCTCAGAGCCAGGAGGCACAGGACTATTTAGATGAGCTGAAGTTAGCAGTTGCCTGGAATAGGGTGGACATTGCAAAGAGTGAGATCTTCAATGGTGATGTGGAGTGGAGGGTAAGAATGATTTTTTTTTCTGGTACTCTTATCTGTAACCTTTATATGTCTGTTTAAACATTACAAGTAAGGTAACAGATTCTCTGTATGTGTTGCATACTTGGACAATAAGGTCTAATTCTGTTTCTGATTCCAACAGGCATGTGACCTGGAGGAAGTTATGATGGATGCTCTAGTTAATGACAAGCCGGATTTTGTGAAACTCTTTGTTGACAATGGGGTGAACCTTGGGGAGTTTCTCACATATGGGCGGCTGCAGGAGCTGTACTGCTCGATATCAGAGAAGAGTCTACTCTACTTTCTGCTGAAAAAGCACCAAGAGAAGCAGCTCCTGCTGGCTACAGCACGCACCCCTGGGCCAGCGCACAGTGAGCCAGGGGAGCGGCAACCGCGGTTCACGCTGCACGAGGTCTCCAAGGTGCTGAAGGATTTCCTCCATGACTCCTGCAAGGGCTTCTACCAAAAGTTACCCACTGTGAGTAGGCCGAGTTAAGGAAGGGATTCATGAATCATAGATGTCTGGGTTACAACAATAACTTTCTGTCAAAAAGCACTATGTACTAGTGGTAGATGTTAGCAGTTAATCATCCACTCAAAGATCATCTGCTGAAAACATTGAGATGTACAATCATCTTGTAAAAGGATTAATTATTCATAGATTGATAAATGGATCAGTATTTGAAATAAACTGTAAGAGCTTATCTGGTACATGGCCACGGTCAGGTCAAATGCTGCAAATAATGTATATATGTTTAATATCAAATAAGCACACTCATGAATGATTTGTCCCAGGAAAAGGGGAGCAAGAGCTTGCTTTCTCATGGACCTAAGAACCTCCCTGACCTGGAGAAGCACTGTGAGCATCCTTGGAGGGATCTGTTCCTGTGGGCTGTGCTGCAGAACCGGCAGCAGATGGCCTACTACTTCTGGGCCATGGTGAGCCGGAGCCCGTGTCTGCTCATCCAGCACCATTATCATATTTTAGGCTGCCAAAGCTGTAATATGCGCGAAACCTACCGGATTGTAGTACATGATGTGGACATTTGGTGGACATCCTGATTATGCCAAGTTTGATGCGTCCTCGGTTCATCAAGGGAGGGCCTTGAGTTTCACTTCTTTAATAATCACAATCTTCATCATATGACATCACCACATTGATCCTTTTTTTATCATTTTCAAACGCAAGACTTCCAGCCACTGAGCTGGAGGCAGTGTGTGGCTCAGCAGGCTCCGCCCCTGTGCCTGTGATTGGAATGTTCTTGGTTCAGTCCTTATTAATATTGTTATTATTATTATTACGATCATCATCATGAAATAAATACGCACCCTCACATGGCTCTGTACAGCCTTTGCAGGTAAGCATGCTCCTATGTTTTGTCTGTGTTTATCTATGACATGTCCCTTAATAAAAGGCAAACACAATAAAACAGGTACTTTATAAATACATGCACCTTACAGCTTAACAGAAAACAGTGCTTTTAATTTTAATGTGGTGATGTCATGCAATGAAGACTGATTAAAGAAGTGAAATGCAAGCCCCTCATTTGTTGACCGAGGGAGACATCGAACTCAGCAAAATCAGGACATTCAACATTTGGTAATATGATTCATATTTTAAAACATGCTAATAGGAGAATATGAAGAGTGAGGAAGACTTTTTCTGAATTCATGAAATTGCAATAGTCTTTTTAAAGATGACATCAATGTTGAACTATAAGCGGATGTGAAATATTTTGCCACAAGCTGGACGTTTTGTTTCCAAGGGCCCAGAAGCAGTTGCAGCAGCATTGGCTGGCTGTAAGATCTTGAAGGAAATGACCCACCTTGAGTCAGAAGCTGAGTCAGCACGCAGCATGAAGGAAGCCAAGTACGAGCAGTATGCACTCGGTAAGGGAGAGCGCGGCATGAAGGAAGCCAAGTAAGAGTAGCATGCACTCGGT